TGCTACCTTAGGTTATACATTCATTTTGTCACCAGTGAATATAGACCTTTACCAATATTAACAATGTACTAGAAATACATCAAGACAAGGAAAATGCCGGCTCATGCACGTTTGGCTACATGACATCTCGAAATCGCCCTTCGTCTCAAGAAATGACACTTTTGTTCGGTTTTCATAAAGTTTAATTAAAATATTAACTGGTTGTAAGACTAGAAAACATGATTTGATTGACTCGAGGAAATTAAAAATTTTGTGGAAATTACTCTTATGATTGAATTGTGAAGTTTAATGAATGTCATTGTCCCCAAAAAATGGGGAAACGAGGCTAATTTTCAATCACTTAGAAAATTTATTTTTCTGACTTGGAATACACGGCTCTATGTTGCGTTTAAAATAAACATTTGCTTTTTATATGCGAACACAAAAGGGTATATTCTTGTGTTCAATAATATTTTTGTTTAAAAATATATTAAAAAGAGAATTATCAAAATCAGTCCAGAATTGATGAAATTATAGTATAACATATCCGCAAAAAATCAAGCGAATTAACAACTTGTTTGAAATACAGAAATTTTTAGGATAAAAATAAAAAATAAGATACAGAAAATTTTAGGATTATCTGATATTTACTTAATTATTATTATATACAGCATCAGCAATAAATAATTTAAAAAATATAAACAAAATTTGTACTCGTAAACAGATGACATTTAAATATCCATTAGACATTTAAAGATATGTCTGCGTGCATTTGAAGTTAGTTGTACGATGCAGGCTAAACGTTACCTACCTTGGACGCATCGTGAAATTTGTAGCAGGATAAAACGCTGCCACGGCTGGCTCTACCATTGTGAAATACGTCAAGAAAATAATGGCGCACAAGTTCCATATAGCGGGCTGCTCGTTGAGATAATGTCTTCAGATGAATGTTGAAATTGGTGTTGTGACGGATATTCTGATGTCTTTGTTATTTGTGTAACTTTGTAAGACCATAAATACTGCTGTTATTATAAACATATCATCGGTACAAAAAGAATATCAGAGCAGATATTGTAATTACACTCTGTATAACGTTTTATGTATTTATGTAGGTTTTACCTATCAGGAAGTAAAAATATACATATATTTAAATTATTTCATATGTGAGTATTACTTCGTAAACATGAACCGAATTTTTCAAAGTGTTTATAATTACTCCTCTTTATCAAATGATTGCCTGGAAGAGATTGCTTTTTGTTATAAGAATGCCCATTTATTTATTTATTTATTTTATTTATTTATTCATCAGTACAAATATAGTATATACATGGTGGACTTAATGCTAAAAGCATTCTCTCCCAGTCAACCATTGTTTTCTTAAAGTTATTGTTTCATTTAGGTACTTAATTATTTTGGTTTATAATATGATTATTACTGTAATTTTTTGGTGGAAATAATAAAGAGTATCTATCTATTAATCTATCTTAAGTTTATATGAACAATTTTTAAAATATTTGATTAAAAGATATTTTGGATTAGTTATATTAGATACAATATAATAAATAACTTCATGGATCATAATGTGGATGGCTATAAGGCAGAGGTAGAATTAAAAAGATATGGGTGGACTGTGTGTAAGATGAAATGGTCAGAATGAGAATGAATGAGGAAATGACTGTGAATAGATAAGAATGGAAGAGAAAAACGTGTTAGATCGACTCCAAATAATAATTGGGATAAGAGTAGGAAGATGATGATGATGATGAAAATAAATAATTTCAACCGACGCCATTTTTGAAATGCGTATCATCGTAGTTTATTTTAATTGTTTAAGGAAACGAATTAAGTATTTTATACGAGAGCGCTTTAAAATAAGGACTCATTCTTACAGTAGGAGAAATATAGCGTGAAATTAACTTTCGGATTCAGTTCACACTGGACACCGCGCCGCTGTACAGCGCTGCTCAGGTACGAAAGACTAATGGTGGATAGAATTCTTTGTCATACTCTTTGTGCTTCTAGGTATTAGTCTAAGCATTAGGTTTTAGTTTTTTAAATTTTTTGCGTTTTTTATAGGGATACTCCATTTTTTTAAATCTATTGTTGATGTGGCTTTGGATAATAAGTATCCTAAATGTAATTTTGAATGTAACGTAATATTGTATGTATTGAATTTAATGAAAAATCTTTCAGAAATTTAACTGTAGTAGATACAAATGTCATTACAAACATTCATACTTGTTATTGGGAAGTATATAGATTACTTAGCCTGAATATACATAGATATAAATTACCTAACAGTTTATGTCTGTGTTTACATTTACATCCTTTAGTATATATCGTATATTGAAAAAAAAATTCACAATTGTAATACGAGAAGAGGTTAGATGTATATTTATTATATTATTTACGGAATAGCGTACAAGCTGACGGCTCATATGATGGGAATTATTATTAATATAGGGTAGCGGTATATTACGATTATCTTATAATAATTATAACTTATTAATAATGCTTTCGTTCAATTTGCATTTCTAATTGAACAATAGTTAATGTTAGTAATTTTAATATAAGATTAAAAATATGTGCTCCCTAAATGACGCCACCTTGTTCGTCACGTGAATACTTTACGTTGTCTGTGGCGTTCATAAAAAAGACAATTTCCCTTATTGCCGCAATCTGTTACACATGTTCCGCGAGGGTTATGTCTGCAGCCGCCCTCATAAACGACAAAGTAAACCATAATTTATTGCGCAAATTTAGGGTCAAACAAAAACTCATAAATTTCTTTAGAAATCTCGAACTATTCCGATTATGACACAAACCAACTTGATGAGCGATGAGAAATGAGGATATTTACAAATGATTTTCAACAGTAAAAATAGGTAAATTCCCTCCTTTGTACAATAGACTGAAAATACTCCTAAAATTAAATTGCTTGGTTGGCAACCGATATCAAGACGATGAGGATATTAATATTTTAGTCGTCTACATATTTTGTATATTTGCTAATTATTAATCTATTTTGACAATTTTTTTTATAATAATTCATTTGGCTGAAGTTAGTTCTACGGAAATATGTATAAATACTCGTATTTTATTTATACATATTTTTGTATGTAAACCATTAGTTTCTATCAAATGAGCATTATTTTTTTTTTATTAGAGGGAGGATATAGACCTAATATTAATAAATTGGAAACGAAACACAGTCCTATACGTTTGCCCGTATGCAAAAGCTTCAAGTTACTCAATGAGCAATGGAGAGGGTTGTGCTTGGGATTTCTTTGCTTAATAGAATTAGAAATGAGAATATTCGCAAAAGAACCAAAGCAACCGACAGCCCGAAGGATAAGCAAACTGAAGTGGCAATATGCTGGTAACATAGATCAAAGATTTAACAGCCGCTGGGGATGAAAGTTTCTTGAGTAGCGACTTCGTATGGTCAAATGTAGTATCGGATAACCCCACTAAATGGAATGAAGGTCTCAAATGCATTGCAGGGAGTTAGTGGATGCAGGTGGCTCAAGACTGTTTCTTATGTCAGTCTATGGGGGAGACATATGTTCAGCAGTGGACAGATAATGGAAGATATAATGATAATATGATATTAATAAGTTGGCGAGATGCTTCGGTATAGGGTTTCAATTTGAGTTTGTCATGATTTGTACTAGTTTATTGTGTTTTGTTACTTTAATTGATGTTTAATAGGTGATGACAAGGCATTATTAGTTCGTCAATTATATAAAGACAACACGTGTTTTCGACAAACGTTTTTTAATCTATTCAAATGTTACTTACAATGTACTCGTAATTATGTTATATTATATATAAAAAATCACGCATAATTTTCGACATACTTTGATAATTATAACTTTCGCAGACAAGGGACATTTTGTTTGTGGACAAAAGTTTCCTTTGTGTTTGTCTCGTCTTCTCAACCCTTTATATTTGACGAAAGACAATTCTCAGTGTAAATTTATGTCGGGTTATAATAAAACTCCTAAATTTACATGCTACAATGCACACGTGTTATGCAAGTACACAGGTTACACAAAGGGGTTTGTCGTTACCAGAGCTTTATTAGAAAAAAATAAAAATAACGTTTAAAATTAATCCAAACAAAAATATATGAATAATTATTGTAGAAAAATACAGTCATTCAATATAATAAAATAAGTAGATATAGTGTTTACTGACTCAAGTTGTGTTAACGACTGACTTGCAACACGAAATGTTGGTATTGCTTTGAAAAATTGTACTGAAACTTTTGAAAGTCTGAAGCATAGCTCTTCTTTTATTCATGGCCTGACATGTGGCGTTCACTGTGTTGTGTACAGGCTTTCTTTCCTAACAAAATAAATAACATTTGCTTCGAGTTAGGTCCTTTGAGAGACTGCTCCCAGCACTAATGTTTTATGAATGAGTCTTTATGTAGTTACGTTTATTACGTGCTTATATCTTAGGTTAAAATTTTATTTAAGTACAAATATAGAATATATTCGATTATTTATCAGGTAGCACCATATCAAATGTCATGTTGTTTAAATATGAGTAGTGCTGAATTTAATTGTACTGTTGTATTCATTCTCTCGGAGATTCTTAGAACATTTTAAGATCATCCCCACTCCGTGGAGCCCGTAGGTTGTTCCCTTTATCACGAAAAACTATATCTATCTCTGTCGCACACGGAAAAAATAATACGTTTTCCAGCTTTTCATTCTATTTTCTCTATTTCGTATTAAATCTAGTTGCGTTAACTTAGCGTTGAATATTGCGATATTTGAGAATCGTACTTACTACCTTTCGCGTCTGAGTGAAAGCACCTTGAAAGCCTTTAATAAATGTTAGTGACGTAAGTCACTGCTTCGCTCTAGAAAATTCACTTGAATGTTGTAGAATTTAGGGTCTTCATTGCTTTGTATGCAAATAGAAAGTATGACATTCTGTGTAGTATAGATTTGTAGAAAACTTGTAAGGTACGCAACCAGGAATGTATAGGTCATCGGGAAATAGGCCTTCAGTCGCATCGCGCACATGCTGGCGTGAACACGAATTCAGCGCTAGGACTTCGCGCGAAATGGCGGGAACTTTCTGACAACTTTCGTAATATAGTACGCAATCGTATCTCAAGATTTTTCTAAGAATAAAGTAAACAATTTATAACGTGAATATTATTAACAATAATGTTGTTGTAGTTTTGAAACATGTTCGAACAGTGTTAGATATTTCAACGACTCTACAATTATTTTATTCAAGTACGTATTACAGAGTCTCACGAAATATTATTTAATATATTTTTTTTATTTTTCATATATTACTATTTTTTATTAATTAAAAAATAAATTATTTGGAATTGCGATGTTTTTGATTTATGTTTACGTACTAATGTAGAGTTTATAAGAGTTATATATTTGTTAATGAAGAAAACAAATATTTCTTTTTTCGTATTAATTATGAGTAAGGTAAATAATATTTAATTATACTACTGTTCAAGTTAATTTTTTATGTATAGATTGATATTTTTATTGTATTTAAAATATGCAGGTTGTAGTATTGTTTACTTTTATGTTGTATTATTTGCGTATTTACGAAAGATTTAATGTATAGTATTCATTTATATACGAATAAAGAAATACAGTAAGTATATGGCCTTCTTTTTCAAACGAAATAAGTAAATCATTTACTAAATTTTGTTTTACAAAATTAGTTATATTTTATAAGGAAAGTCATGAACATCTGTTTAAAAGTTTGAAAACCTCATATCTGAAAGATTTTTCTTAATAGAGAATATTTTTAAAAATATTCAGAAATATGGAATATTATTAAAATTTAAATTATAAATAATAATAATTATAATTATTTAATTGAATTTAAGCAACAAAACTATCAGGTATACGATATACAATATTTATATATTGGAGTATATTATATTGTCAAATGTATATGACCATGCCTATATTAAAAAAAAAAAAACAAAATCATTTTCTACTAACTGTAAAAATCTGTACAATATTTTATATAAATCAAAGTAATAAACGAATTATTTTAAGCCTTAAGATATAATTAAGTTAAAAGGCAGACATTTTTAATTTATTCTACACATAATATAGTCCTTAAAAAAACAGCTCACAGAACTTGATGCAAAGCCTATTTTATACATATTAACCTTAGAAGTGAGAAAATCAATGAAATAGGCTACTTATAGATAATGTATCAATATAAAACATATACAAGACTTTAATTATAAATTTGGTGTAATAGTCTTTGCTTTATGCTAGAAAAAACAAACAATAAACAGACAGACAGACAACAAAAAAAAAGCGGACAAATTTTTTTAAAGTTTTTGTTTTAACATATACTGAATTTATTAAGAACCCCATATTTTTTTAATATCTCTCATATCGCCTTAGTAAAAATATGAAAGAATATTAAAAGCTGGTAGCCATTACTGTACTTTGAGCATTGTAGCATGGTGCAATTGACAGTTCCGATTTTGGCAATTCTTAGATAGATAGATAATTTATTTGCATTACTTACACTACACAAATAACAATACAAACAAACACATAATACGGACATACACAGTGAAAGAGATAAAAGAATGAGAAACAAAAAAACACCTAAAAAACCTAAAGCAAAATATAAAAAACAACAATTTCCTTCTTTCATGCGTGTGCTGTAAAAGTCTAACCTAAGTTACACAATTGGGAAGAAGGTTATATAATAATATAATTGATACTTACTTATAATCAAATGTTACATTGAATTCGTAAGATATGTTTTAATGACTATTATTTTCCATGGTTTTAGTAGCTTTATCATACGTCCCATACTAAAATGCACGGCATATAAAGATATCCCCAGTATTATCGCTAATTAAATTAAGATTTTTTACTCTTGTGATAGAAGTACAAAAACATTATATTATTTTATAGATAAGTAATACGGTAAGTATATATATTATGGTGTACATAACACCTACACCTTCATCATCATATCAGCCTTTAACTGTCCACTGAACATACGCTTCCCCCTAAGTGGGTTTTGCCAGTAATTGCCACGCTTGGCATGCGAAATGGCAACCGCAGTCAGGCTTTAGAAGTGTTCCAAGAGGGACGCTGCTGTCTATGCTTTGCCCTCTATTAGTCGCGTCCTACGATACCCATGGAAAAGGAAGGGGTGGCCTTTTCTATGCTGAGACTCTACGGCCACCGAAATACGACCATTTAATAAAAAAATATTAACAATGTAATCATATGCAATAGTTGGGATTTAAAAATAATATTTGAATAGATGAAAATTCCACTCTGACCGATGCGATGCATTCGGTATTGCAGTGTTCCGGGCCGCTCCGCGCCTCACCGCGTGGGGAGGTTTTAATTCCCTTGACTGTTGCGAATCGGCGCATGTTTTTTCATTAAAACGCATTCAATATGACGACGACGTAGCTTTGAAAGAGCGAACCTTTTCAAAAAATATTTTCAATGACTTCCCAGTCCGCAATGCTCCCTCTGCATTCATCGTTTTGGGTACCTGCTTTAAAAATCGACTCTTTTAATTTGACTGTTCCATAGCAGTCGTAATTAAAGAAGTCAATCTTTATACAGGTATATAGAACAAATATCATAGTGTTTATTTTGTTTATCTCAATTTATTAAAATAAAAAAAAAACAAACGATTTCATTGGTGAATTGATTAGAATTATTTTGTTTAACTGCATTACCATTAATATGTATTCGGAATTAAACAAAATATTTTAATCAACTAATTAGTTGAAAAAGATGGACATAAGTGTAGCATATACGATTTAAAAGTTAAGGTATAAGTGTCTGTAGTGCAACTTAAATCTCTCACGGTAGCTATTTTCTAGAAGCAAAATAAATTTGAAACTAGTAACTTTATCATGTATATAATTTAACAATACTTGCGCAATTTTAAACAGTCAAAACTTTACAAACGTCTTTAAATCAAAAGTATTACGTATACATAAATAAATATTCAATACAGAATAAGAAGTAATAATAATTTAAGATTATGTTTAGCGTTTAACTTGCTCTTTACTATCTCAGATTATATGTATGTTCAGTAAAATTTGGTTTAATTCTTAAACAATTTATATTCATAATTGATAAATTCATTCAACTAACTCGTTAGGGATTATTGTCGTGAGCATATTTAAATAAAAATATTTGACAAAAATAATACGGCATCGATATGGAAGCAAAATGTCAATTGCAATAGCTGCACAGATTTCGTGAATTCGGTACAGCTATTGTAATACATGCCTGCAATTCAAATACGACAAGAATTATTATTGATGTTGGTACAGAAATGAAGATTAATACACACATACAAAAAATAAGACAGTCAAATGTAAAATTTTCATGTTTTACGAACATGTCAAAGTCGTAATGTTGACACTCGGATAAATGGAAAAACAAATTGACAATGAAATGAAATGATAAAAATTGTTATTTTATTTTATGTAATTTAGAATGGCAAACAAGCTGACGACCCACCTGATGGAAAGTGTTAATCGTCGATAGCCATTATCACGATCAGTATCATGGACATAACAGAGTATACTGTGTCTCCCATGATACCCTTAATGTGTTGCCATTTTTGAGGATTAAGATCATAACACTTTACCCTCCACCTGACTACCACCAGAGAAATATCTCTGTATCCTGTAATTTTATTGCCATATTTCAATATTCATACCGAAACACAGCTATAAAAACACAGCAGACGACTTTTGTACAAAGTCTCACTTTGATATGTATTATTATTATGTCAACATGTTATAATGCAGTGAACGCAGAAAATTGAGACCATTATGTCTATTAATAAAATTTGACAGTAAATGTATAATTTAACAAAAGTAAACAACGGAATAAATTTGATATTATAATAGTATCACAAATTATTAGTCTGTCGTAGTTTTCATATCTCCAAATAACAACTTTGAAAGTTGTGAAATAAGTGTATGTTTTTAATATACTTTCCAAAACCCTTCAATATAACTTTGTCTACGTTAATTACACTTTCTTAGCTGACATTCAGGGTGCGCTGAAGTGGTTTTGTTGTGATCGCAATGACACCCTCACTTCTCCATTAGTACACCGTGAAGCAGGGTTAACGACCAGTTCGCGTGATAGCCCACCACTTTACGCTTATTTATACGATGAGGCGGACAAACCAACGCTCCACATTCGAATGTTACATGGCAGTGCGCGACATATCAAATTTCCATTATCAGAAATAAACTAAACATCGACCATAATGATGTTAAAAAGAAATAAGAATAATTTCCCACCATTAAATTATATTATAAATAAAAGTTAATAGTCCTGTGTATATATAATCCAGAGCCATTTATTCGAAAACTTAGTAAAAATTATAATAAGTAACAGATAGTTATGCTCAAATATATATTTTATAATGCATACATGTATAATCTTTGATTAATATGTATTTCTCTACAAACGATTCATTAAAAATAACGTTGGTCTTGTTATTCTTTTGTGGGTGAATTTTGCAACATTGATCACAAGTCGAATTTCGTAAATGTGTGTTTGAATAGGAATACAAATATATTATATTTATTACATTCAACATCGACAACCTTCGCAAAAAAAGTTTTTTTGACGTTTAATGGTCTATCATAAAGTAAGTTTAGAATTATATACTGACACTCCTAGTGTTGCAGGCGTCCTTAAGCTACAGTAACCGTTTACTATCTAGCTATATACCTAGGTGTTTTATATTAAGGAGGTTTTGCTTTCGTGTGTATTATTTTTATATGTATTTCTGTTTGCTAATATAATTTCTGCAATCGAATTTACTCCCGTTTTAATAATGTCATGACAGAAATAGTACATGTACAAAATCTTGCCTTACTAGTATAATAAAAAAAGAGATCTCTTTTACAGATAAGCCCTCTCTTGCTAATAAGTTGTTAAATTAATCGCTGTATCTATTGTTCAAGTGCAATAAAGAATATATATAAAACTGTACATAGACGATATCTGATGAGTAATAGAAATCAAAATAATAGCTTAAAAAAATTCTGTCTGTATATTTGTTCCGACATCACGTAAAAATTATTGCATCAACTTTAATTCCGTTTTTATAGTCGTATTCCTAAGGGTTTATCTTAAAATCTGGTGTATGTTTTACTTTGATACGTCATGTAGAAGTGGTTTTCCTACATCCGAAATCCACGCATACGAAGTAGCGGGCAAAATTAATAAATTATTAATTCTGTCACGATTGGAGTTCTTATATTTGTTGTCAAAAGTTTAACTATTATTAAAAATGTTTCTTAATTAAAGTCTTTAATTTAAATTATTTCATTAAAACTTACTACGTTTTTTTACAAATAAAAATTGATTTTATTTTGGCATACTTATTAGTACGGTTTATTTTTTAATAGATTTGTTATATATAATATATTTTATTTTTATTTTATATAAGGTATTAATAAGATTTAATATTACTGCAATTAAATGTTTCTAATCTAGTACCTATATAGTATTTGAATTCATGTATAAAAATACTAATATAATAAAACTGTAAGTTGATGATGTCTGTACATGGGAAATAAAAACAAATGATGTGACGTGTTTAATAACATTTCGAATATTTTTTTGTATTTTTGTCTGTCTGTTGTCCGAATGTTTGTTTTGGCATCACGATTTGAAAACTACTACAAGAAATCGGATACGATTTTCACAATAGGTGTATGTTGATATAAGATTTTATATTGCGTTACCTAAAAGTGATCTTTTTAATTAATTTTCCTTTTTCTAAAATCTACACGTGGGAAGTAGCAGGAAAAAGCAAATAATGTTATAATAATATAGATTCGTTTATAGTAAAGTTTTGCATGCATCACCTATGATTGACAAATGAATTTCTGCAATGAAATGGTAATGCATCTCTCTATTGACCAGTCTGAAGGGGGAAGCTAGTGCAATCTCTGACACAAGAGCCATAAATCTTTCGAATTCAAGAGTAATGCATGTAGGGTGCTATGACGGTGGGCGATGCAGTGTATTCTGTGTTGTTAATGATGCTATTTACGATGCCATGGTTACCATTTATACTCAAGTGGCTCGCCAGGTTCTTCCCGTTCTTAGCATAAAAATAATTCTTATTAAATTCGGGTGTCCTATTTATATATAATATCCTATATTATATTATATAATTATTTAAGTAGGTAATAATTAGTATGATTGGCAGCTCATTTTTGTAGCTACATTAGTTGATAATAAACAAAATGTTTTATATTGATTATTTATTTCAACCATCAATGATAATAAACAATAAAACTATTATTAATAATAGTCAAAGGTATATATAATTAATAATTTCATCGTAATTAAATATGTATTCCTTTGTTTCAGATACAATGTTAATAAACAGTATGAAAACGAGACAGCGTTTAGGATGCAGTAAATATTTGCTACCATAAAAATATATATTTAAAATGAAAAAATTAAAAGAAGAGTTTGTGAGCGCTAAAGTATCATAGACAAATATCCGATGTCGGGCCCGAAAGATTCCGTGTCATAGACAATGCACAACTTTCTCCAAGCGGCTATAGTGTCGGCATTACTGCAAATATTATTCTCCTTTACAGGTAAATAAATATTTATTTATTTATTTTATTTTTATAATATTTAGAATTGCAAAAAAATGTAACTGTTGAAATCGCACTAAATACATAATTAAATCTATATTTTTTGTAAGTAGATATATTATGTTGCCAACCCGTCTGTCAACAATGACAACTACTGGCAAAACTCCCTCCTTATGGGATTGGCCTATGTTCAGGAGTGGACAGATAATGATTAATATGATGATGATGATGCTAATAATTATGATATTATGTTATAGAAAGAAAAATTACATTAATTTTAGATGAATTAATTTGGAATATTTTTTTTTATTATGCAACTTAATTAAATCATTTAAAATTAATGAGATTTTTATTTTCAATGTAAATATATATGTAGGTAGGTGTTATATAGATATAACAAATAACTGTAAAAATAATGTATATATTGAAGTGCCTAGATATACAGAGATTATAAATTTATAAAGTTTAAGCAGTAAATTATAGCTTGGATATGAATATTATAAAAAAGTAACTAAAAACGCATTAAAATAAAAAAAAAAGCACAACTAAAACATGCAATGTTGTAATTAGTGTTTTACACCACTTAGTTTACCTGTGGTTAAGCAACTTAAAAACTTACCGCGACATAATAATAGTTTTCATCGATAATGCTAGAAATAATTATGAAATTAAATGATTATTTATATAAATATATATATATATATATATATATATATATATATATATATATATATATATATATATATATATGCATATTATATGCGATTGTTTATATCTATAATAACTTTACTATTGTATTTTTTTGGAGGAAACTATAAAGAGAATCAAGTTATCTATTCCTTAATATAACTATAAGTACTCGTATAAAATGTTGCTAATGCTTACGTATTTATCTTCTAAATACTTTTAATTTGTTTAATGAGATGTAATTACCTATTAGTACTATTATAGTTATGTATGTTAGAATAAAGAATTTTAAGTAAATACAGTAATCAACGTATTCATTTAGAGTGTTATTACTATTATGTATTTAAAAATGTATTCATTCTATTAGTACTTACTTATCTAATTACTACCTATATTTTTTTATTAGTTGTAAACTAAATTGTTCTATAATATTATGCACTTATAGTGTCCCGTTCTTTTGTCTGCGTCTTATGCAATCTTATTAAGATTAAAAAGTGCTTTTAATAACATATAATATAATAATATATTTTAATGCGTTTATTTATAATATTTTTTAAGGATGTTTCAATAATGATCATAATTATATATTTGTTACTTAATCACGTTAAACGGCTGCACGGATTTCAATAAAATTTGATACTAATATAGAACATAATCTGATAATATTTTTATCCAAATTAATGCAGGTAAAGCTACAGGATGATGATGATGATCTTAATAATGTTAGTATATTATAAATGTAAAAGTTTGTTAAAATGGTTGAATGTAATGTTCAATCACGTTTAAACGATAGAACGGATTTGAATGACATTTGGTTCATAAGTAGATTATATTCTAAATAAACACATAGGACACAATATACTGATTCACGAGGACAAAGATATATATCATCATCGTCATTATCATATCAGTCATTATCTGTCAACTCCTGAACATAGGTCTCCCCTGTAGACTACTATAAGGAGCGGTCCCGAGCTACCTATATATATAACTCAGTAAGAAGAACCGACAACCGATGAGAAAGAAAGGTTCTTGAGTGGCGACCTCGTACAAGCAAATGCAATGTAGTGTACTACATGTAGTACAACCCGCCTCTAGATATAATGACGACTTTAAATGCATTGCAGAGAGTAGGTGAATGCAGGTGGCTATTAATATATAAAAATGATATATTCACATAAAAGGAAATCACCGTGGAGCTACCAATTAAAAGCCGGCTCCTGTTATACATACTCGTATGTTTGTTACTCGATGTTTACTGTCTATGTAGGTCAGGCCAATATTTCCTTTGATCGGACGACGGCGACAATACGGCATTAGGTGAACGAAGCAAAGACAAGCGAAGCCGTCAGCCGTCGGCAACAGCGGAAGCAGCTGCGTCGGTCGCGTGCTATTTGCCAATTTATCACTAAGCTGATTATATATATAGGCTCGTTCTTGTGACGTGCTTTATGACCTTGTTTGCTCTCCTCCCATTGTTTCGCTCCTTTATTTACACGCCTTTTAAATCGAAAACGAAGCCGACGGTGAAGTTTTACGTCAACGCTTTTGAGGAAAAGCAGTAATCTAACGTCTAATTTTATACAATTTATGTATGTTTATTATTTCTCAATATTCGGAGCTTAGTTCTCATTTAGGTTAATTAAGTTGTTGAATAATGTTGTTAGTCATGCTAAACTTGCACATTTTTTATTTAGATTGAGATGAAAATATGATTAAACTAAATATTAAGACAACCATAATTAAAAAAAAAAAAAACAATGGAAACCCGATGTTACGCAATAAGTCTGAATATCCTTTATAACAATATTTCTATAATATTTTGTTAAATTACACACTTTTATGAATTAAGCCAGTGTGTAGTGAGTATATATTTCTTTGCAGTGTATGTTTGTGAGCATATATGAGTGTGTGTGGTTTGTACTTTGTAGGTACATATAACTAACCTCCATCCTCACAATTCAAACACCAATGCATTCTCATAGGTCAAACTGCACTTAACATCATTGTTACTGTCAAATACCTATTCATAAATCTACATCTCCTTAATGTAGTTATGAATAGACAGGTGTGTTGCTAATACTTCGCCTATCCTATGGGACATCATATCTAAGTCACGTGTCAACCGTAATGCATTTCGTGTTATAAACTAGGAATCGATTTGCTATTTCAATACATCTATAAGACTCATTACACTATCAAATCCTAATAATATAAACGCAATAGATTATAAAGATGTTTACTACTGATTAATATATGTTCTGCTCTTTTTATTTAAGATTTAGATTGAAGCCAGGTCAATTGATTCATGGTAAAGAATTCTCTAGGAGTTAATCATGTACCACCGTTAGTAATAAGAGAGAATTGCGTGGAAGTCGACTGGCAGCATATATTGCTTGCAACTAGGTCGCTGTTTTGTAAGAATCTGGTGTGTAGGTCCTGTATACCTGCCCTGAAAATAAATTTAAAAATGAATAAAATATAAGAGTACATATTATGTGTGGAAAAATGCCTAAGTTTCATTCATATATGTATGTACATGTATGAAGGAATTCCGTCAGTACTGAAAAATTTTGATCACGAAGAAAAAATACGCTTGTATGCATGATATTTGAATTCCTCGTGTACAGAGTTATGGATTTAACATTGGTTAAATGAAACGAGATTTCTGTATATTGACCCCAATGGGAAAATGGAATGTATGACTTGGTGTTTATTTTTTTTATTTAGCTTCTTCATGTCATGTCCCTATGTCACAGGTGGGCAGAGAAAAATGAATGCCAAAAGTCCTTATATTAGCATGTAATTATTTTGGTCTATTTATTACATAAATTTATTTAGAAATACTAGTAGAATAATAAGTAATTTATTTTGATTAGTGGAAATTCATTTTACTAAGTTTATAGCATGTTAGTTGCCGATAGCAAATAATGTATACAATTGATTGTTATTTAGTTTTTTTTTTTACTTATTTGCTGATAGCAAGGCTCTATAAAGACTGCTTTTTTTATTTAGCAAAAAATTATTGATACGTTTGCGTAAAAAAATTACTTAACCAGTTACACTAGATTGAAAATATTCTATTGAATTTAGAACGCGGAATTTCTAAATTTAAAAAGCTTTTAAAATTCGAAAATCAAAATCGCAGTTTCAATCGTCAAAAGATTAATAAGGTAAAATAAAAGAAGCAATTTCTTTTTAAGGAAATAGTTGTATAATTAAAGCTTTATAACAGTGACATCCCGGAAAATAAAATATAAAAACTATAAATTCATTTAAATTATAAGTACAAAAAGTGTATCTTCAGCATAATATTCTGTTTTCAGTAGGTCTGGCGCAGGTGTGACCGGCCTTTGCTCGAGAGACCGACGGAAAATCCGCATACGACTTTAATTTAACTTTGCTTCATTGAGCATCGTCCTAACGCAACACTAAAATTACCTACGCTTCTAAAACAGCAGCTTTATATATTATAATTAAAGAGAGACCACAATTGTGTTTTTATTATTTGCGTTTATTATAATTAATGCCTATAATTAGCTTGAGATTAATATACGGCACTAATCTTTACTGTTAATATAAAAAAATTAAAGAAATATTTAAGTAATTTTTTTATATCTTATGTAACAATTTCATTTAAAAAAGTGGTTCAGGTAGATTATAAAAGTATAACAATAGATTTGTCCGTTTATTTGCTGTACTCTCGTTGATAGGAACAAAGCAATTAAAAAAACTCTGGATCGGCTTCTAATAATTCCAAACCATGGCGTAAAATGACTATTTTTAATTGACGAATTTAATTAAAAAGAAAATCATGTTCTAAAAGCAGTCGCAGGATCTATTACGCTAACGGAAACCTAATTATTTGATTATGAGATGCCTGTAATATATTGTTATAATAGGCTATTGGTATAATTTTTAATCTGCGGTTTCTCATAATGAAATCAAGCACCTTTCCAATATTTTTATGAATAGTGGACGCGATGGCCTTCCAGGAAAGGGTTCGTTTTTACCATATCTCTATTACGCTTGAATTCTATAATTCATTTTTTACGGAAGAATATGACGGAGCAAAATCATGCATGAGGACATCAATGACCTTTGATGATAATTCCTTGTTATGGAAATATTCAATGATAGCGCGATGATCACTTTAATCCATTTGCGGAAATTAAGTCGGATTGTTTAATAAATACATTTAAAAAATCACTATTAATTATAGCACAATTAATTATTAACTGCCTGAATCGAACTACATAATGTGGGGGTAGTTATGATTTTAAAAATTTACCTTCGTATTAGGTACTATCATA